TTTTTTTTTCCACAGGTCACTTTTAATTGATCATGTCATAAATTCTAATTAAATCCTTCATGCTTAAAAATTCCAATATGCTTTACATATTAGTATTCTAATTCTCAAAAAAAATTCTACAGTTTTAACAGCCCTCCCATATAATGCTCAGGCTCTTTTAGAATATCCAACTTTTTAAAGGCTCACGTAGAGTAGTTATTTGATCTCTAGTTAGCTTCCAACCATTATAACAATGGTAATGAAATCAAAGTATCTACTTACCATATTGTGGGTGGCTCAGAACCTTCAATTTCTAAGTAATCATATTTTTCTTCCATTTGGAAATCGGTAAATATGAGTGAAATGGTGTCCCCAGGCTCAGCCACAATTGTCCACGTGCAGTCCGCGTTGTTGTGGTACTCGTTGGGAAAGCTGGGGCTGGAAATGATGCCACTGGATCCTCTCATGGTTCCTCCACAGGCATCTCCAGCTGGTAAAAAGCAAGATGTGCAAATGTAAGTTATAAAGTAAACTCCATGAAAGAAATTCTCTTAACAGATTTTTTTGAAATATATGTTTTTTTTTTATTAAATACAGATCGTACTAGTAGATGGAGTTGAATACTAGTAGAAGTCTACGAGAAAGTTGCAAAGTCAGATATAAATTAAATTATATCTTCACAATTTTAGAGCAATTAGTTGCACTCAGTGAAAGTGAATAAAAAATTCCAAGCTTCCAAATGTTATCTCAGGATAATAGAACCAAGATTTGTTTCCATTGATTAAGTGATGAAGTGAGTAACACAAAGTATATCATTCTTAAGGTTTGTGATGGGAAATCTTTAATCATTCTGTGTGTGTTTGCTGATGGCAGAGATTTGAACTTACGTATTATAATGTAGGTCTCTACAGAAAGAAAGAAATGATTTAAGCTAAAATAAACTATGGCTTCTGTCAGTGACATGTCTCTGAACTATTGAATAATGTTTGTAAAATGTAATCCAAATAAAAGTATGTCACATAACAAAATATGTTAATTAGATGGAAATGATATAGTAACAAATATATATTCACTCATCTTTCCCCATAAATAGATTTTCTAGACACCTGTTAGACCTATTTCCAATAGGAGTGATAGCGTCTCCTTTGGTTACTTTTGACCATCCATGGACGATCGTGCTTCAATGAGCAGAGTGTTCAATATGAATCATAGACCAGGAGATAGCTAATTGTATCATAAAGGATTGACGATAGAACATTTTTCTTATTAGAAAAGAGCATGTCCCCTGAGAGCTAATAGGAAACATGTTTATTTTTATTATACATTGTCTCAAGATTTCTGTTGTTTTTTGGAGAGTTTGCTTCAATTCACATATAACATTTAGGAAAAAGATGGCTCATTATAGACCAATTTTTTGATGGAATGATTAACTTCATAGTCATACTAAACAGCATTGGGGAACATTCATTAAATTGCAGAATCAATCAAGAGTAGAAACTGTTTGGTGTCAGGGACAATTTTATTAATGTATCACTTATGTCAAATAGCGTTAGCTTGTCTGTGCCCCATTCTTAATTTATTCAACTCCACAATTCATAAATGGAAAGCAAAATATTTATTTTTCTCAAAAATAGCTAATTATCATGAAATATGAATAAATGGGATGCAGATATATGCTCATCAAGAACAATCTGAATTTTTAAATGCAGTCTCTCTATTCCAAAGGTATCACTGAGGCCCAGCTATGATGGACTTCGCTTGATATCCAAGGTCAGAATCTTGGACCCACCAGCGGCTGTGTGGGAAAAACAAAATATAACACTTTTCTTTCCTAGAAATTGTAGTCTTGGAAAGCCTGTGGCAGAGTTCGACTCTTTTGGGTCACAATGAGTCCAAGTAACCATGGCAACAGCAAAGGGTCCTCATTATTTAAATAGGGTTCATCATTAGAATCAACTAACCGTTCTGTTTAGACACTGTACAGGAGGAGTCTGGTGGCATAGTGGTTACGAGCTGGGCTGCTAACAGCAAGGTCAGAAGTTCAAAGCCTCCAGTCTCTCAGGGGGAAGAAAGACAGTGCTGCCTACTCCTGTCAAGAGTTAGTCTCAAAAACTCACAGAAGCAGTTCGAGCCTGCCCTGCAGAAGCACCTGAGTCAGTAGCAACTCAATGGCAGTGTGTCTGGAGGGAATTTTAAGTTGCTTTTCCTTTTTTCCATAAGTAATTTCTTACTATAAATCATAATACTCTCAAAACCTCAACCTTCAGGTACAACTTTCCAGTCACGTTTACTTCCAATTATTAATCACTCCTCTCCTTTGTTTGAGAAAGATGAGGCTTTACTCCCACAGAGAGTTAGTCGTCGCAGCAACCCACAGGGGCAGTGCTACCCTGTCCTATAGAGTCTCCACCCCGTGCCAATACGTTTGGTTATCAGAACTTAGTCTCTTCCTGGTCAGTACCTGCACGGAAGTTGACTTTTATTGGGGTAATACATTTTTATATGATCACAGATTAGGTTGTAACATAACTGGTGTACAGAGTTTTTCTCATCCTTTCCAGGAAAACACTTGGTAAGACTTAAGACACTCTCGGGCCAGAAATCCCTCACAAAAGTCTTGCATTTAGCCACTGGAAAACCTGCTCCTGGGATGAATTTTCTCTGGAAATGCAATTTCTTATAGCTGAAACCCTCTGGTTTCAAAATAGACATTTTACATACATATATATATTTCATTTGTAGTTTTAATAATAACTCACTGCCTCCTCCAAGCTTCAGGGAACTTACATAAATCTCTGTGCTTGGTCTCTTTGAAGTTCCTCAATTTAGGCCTATCAAGCAATGAGATCACTCCAAACTACGAACACAGACAATGAACAGCTAGTTCCAGCGATGGAATCAGTCAGGGAGCTCCAGTGTGGCAGAACAGATGCTTAATTTTTTATTTTTTTTTGAGTTCTGGACTGGCTGTTAAAATCGCACTTGTAATCAGGGGTCTCTCTAAGATTGGTGACTGGGCAGCCACCCAAGGTGGAAATCACAAATTTACATTCCTCATTCTTTTTAAATGTTCATCTGCTCAACAGCATATTCAAAGTGCCTGTAATGTTCATTCCATTCATAGGTATACAAAATAGACAAAAACATGCTGGTAGTATGTATTTATTCAGTTCATAAAATGCATTATACTTTTGAGGAAATGCTGCATTTTTATTCCCTTGTGCCTGTTACTTCAGTAAACATTATCAACGTAAAGAGAAAGCAACAAACAGTCAGAGGGTGATACACTGTCATTCCTTTCAGTTTTGTGTTACACCCCCAATTGCCACTAGATATTGTGAGTGAATTATGCAATTCCTGAAAATTTTCAAAGAGCTAAAAATATTGTCAGAACAATTGCTGTTAGTTCAGCAAACGAGTAAAGGGATTTTCCAAGATACACATAATATGCTCAGAGAAGAGAAGTTACCTATTACCAACATATCAAAAATAACCATCACTGTCGAACTGGCCTGCCTGTAAGGGCATGGGATCCTCCTCCCACAGTGAAATATGGTTGAGGTGACATCACATCGCCAATGATGCTTGGATAAAAGTGAAAAGTCTGGAAGTGAGGCTGTCAATCAACAAACAATATGGAAATATCTTAAAAAACAGTCTTCCTGCTTTTTGTCCAGAATAATTTTGTATTTTTCATTAATATTTTAAAACTTTCTTATAACATAATTAGTTTCTTATATCTATTTTTGCTCCTTTTGAAGTATTAATTGTATGAAATAATAAATCACATTTTGATATATATTTTTATCCTTAAAATGGTCATTAGGGCAATGAACCAGTTGTTAAATTATTTGAATCCCATGACTTGGTGGTTGTCTCTGACTAGTTCAATCCAAACATAAGTTTAAAAAACAATACAACAAACAAACAAAAGAATTGGAGGAAATAAAAATCTGCCACTCAAAAATATGACTGACTTGCATTTGAAAATTAGGATTGCATCTAAGTACTTACATCGATTAACCTAAAGTTTTTATATCAAGTTATGTGCTCACTCTTCTGTCTGATATCATTATTAACACAGAGACTACCATAAATGAGCTTTATGAAAGAAATGTATAACAGGTAAAGCTTGGTTTGGGAACATGCTAGATATATAATATTTGTACATAGTGGCTCTACCAAATGTTAGGAATTATATTTTATAATATGATTTAAATTTAGGATGCTCATAAAAAAGTGCATTTTAAAGTGGGTTGAATTATATAAGCCATAACTGGATTTTAAATAGCCCAATTTGAGTAAGTGTAAGATAATGAGACAGTTAAACAATAGATCCTGAATTCCAGAACTGTGCTTTTTCATCGAAGTCACTTGGCATGTTTCTGGTCTAAATGGGTCTCACATACCTCTCAGTGATAAGTCAGACACGTGCAGTCTTGCAGCATTTCCTCTGAGAAGACATGGGGTTGCCCACACGACTGATGATTCTACAATGTCTTTTTAACAACTATAAACCTCAAAGGCAAGGTTCACAAGGGAGTGTTTAATAGAATCATTCTGTAAGACAATCACAGTACACATCGATCCTATCAGTTATTTCATGATTTTCCTAAGGAAATTAAAATATGTTCCTGTATTCTTCCATTTAAAGAATAAGTAATCGCATTCCTTACTCTCATGGAACATTTAGTCCAATGGGTGTGTAAGGCTCTAAACAAACAGCTCAGGCTCGGAAGATTTCATTCCAGGCAGGGACGATGGGGGACTCTAGGTATGGGGTCCTTTAGCTGGTTAGGGAAGTCACAACTGATTGAACAATGAGTTGATGAGATAGGGAAAATCATTGAATGGTACCAACAGTTATGCTCTTGGCTAGTAAAGTAAGGTTGATGGTTTGATTCCACCCAGAAGCAATTCGGAAGAAAGATGTATTTTCACAAAACCACAGTCACCATGAGGAGAGACGGACTTCTTAGCAACTTGCGTGTTTGTTGTTGTTACGTAGCTGAGATGCCTACGTGAGGAACACTCTGTAGTAGAGTATGGCGAGTATGGAACTGTGTGGTCCCACATAAGAAGGCAATAGCAACTGGGGACTAGACCAAGCTGCTCTCTGCTGATGATGCGATGGCTCTGCGGCAGGTCAGCAGAGGCGGACAGGCTCTAATCAGGGTTGTGCAAACGTACTTGAGATGTTCTGTGGAGATGAGAAAGGAGGAAGGCCAAAGAGGT